AAAACAACTCTAACCGAACATTCAAAATTAAAGTGGGTTAAACATAAAATATAAGTTGTAAAACTATGAAAATTCTAGAAGAAAATACAAGAAGTACTGTAACTTGAGAGTAGGTAGAATTCTTAGACATCACACCAAAAGCAAGATCCATAAAAGAAAAAAAGTGACACACAGGACTTAATCACCATGAAAAGTCATTCTACAAAAGGCTAATAATAGAAGTAAAAAAAAAAAAACCAAAACAACCTATAATTGGGGAGAAAATGTTTGTGAGATACCTAGCCAAGAAATTGTATTATAATCTATAAAGAACTGTCAAAACTTTGTCAAGAAAAAGAAAACATAATTATTAAAAATAGACAAAGGATGTAAAAATGACATATAACTAATGAAAAGATGTTTATGATTACTAAGCTTAGGAAACTATACATTTAAACCATTTGTAGTAAACCAGGCATAGTAGCACAGTGCTATAATCCCAGCACTTGTGAGGCTGAAGTGAGAGGGTCATGAGTTTAGGACCAATCTGGGTTATATAGCAAGCAAGACCCTATCAAAACAAAAAGCCACAGATGTAATGTTATCCTAGTACATTAAAATGACTAAAATTGAAAAGAATGATAATCCCAGGTGAAAACTAAAAGTAATGACAATACCACATATGAGGGAGGATGGATATATTGCTAGCAGGAATACAAAGCCCTAGTGGATCTGGCAAACATTTGACAGCTATGAAATTAAACATACATTACCATATGACCCAGCAATACCACTCTTGAATGTTCATCCTACAGAAATGAAAGCTGTGTTCATAGAAATCCTAGTAGGAGCAATGGCAGTTCTGTTCATATGTAATGCACACTAGAAACAAATGCAGGTGAATGGATAGTTATACATTCATACAGTGCACTCAGCAATAAAAAGGGATGAGCTATTAATGCATACAACTTGAGTATTAAAGGCACTGTGTTGAGTGAGAGAAGCCAGTCCCTAAAGTCTGTAATATATATATATATATAAAAGTATATTATATATATGTATATATATTCCATTTATCTCACATTCTGAAGGACAGAAGTAATGATTGGAAGCAGATCCATGCTTGACAGGGTGGGGGAGATAGTCCCATATACTGGTGTGTGTGTTAAAATTCATAGAACTGTACACCAGAAGAAAAGTTATTTTAAAGTCTACAGGAGCAGAAAAATACTCCCTTGGGGGTTTGTTCTTGTGCATGTCAACTCGTGTGTGCTCAGGATAACCTCAGGAGCTTGTTGGGCTTGGAGCTTCCATTGTGAATGCTTCCTGTCACATGCTTATCCTTCCATCCTTGATCTCCTTTGCTATGTCCTCACCTGCCTCACTCCTGTCTAAATTCTCTGGTTCAACCTGGTGCTGTTGCTAAGCTGCTCTCTCAAGCTAAAATGGGCTGCTGGGGTGTAGCCAACAAGATGTTCACGTGCCCCTCATTGGTTTAAAGTGAGCATAGCCATCCTGGTTTCCTAATGCCAAGAACTTCCTCCTCCCTTCAATTGTCCTCAGCCTCCCACATGACCTGGTCCTGGTCCACCGCTCCCTGCTTGGTTTCATGCCTCATTGGCATTTCAATGAAGGAACGTATTCTTAGAAGCTGTGGAAATCTCCAAGTGGCACTGCCTGAGTGCACATCCTAATTGTGGTGCCCGCTCTTGTCTGCCCAGTGGGAGTTGCAAACAGCCTTTATGAAGTCGGGTTTTTCTTGGAACCATTTTTAGGTGGCTATTTTTCTCCTGAGGATTTGCCTTATTGAGCTATTAGAGTGGACAATGGAGGCACGTGAGTGTCTGGATGGCAGCAGGCTGCTCTGTTGGGACATGGGATAAAGTGCCATAAACGTCTTCCTTTATTTTATCGGCTTTGGCTCAAGCTCTTGGCAGGGTAAGGGGTTCTAGACAGCTATTGCGTGTTTAGCTCCAGTTGCTGTGGAAAGGTGGTTTATTTCACAAGTAGAAAATCTATACTCAAATTTAATACAGTGCTATGTGATTGAAGGTAATGTCCTTTTACTTTCTTACTGTACCGTGCAGTGCTTTGCTTCTTGTGTTCCTGCTGCCCTGGTAAATTTTATTGATCAACAAAGACAAAGGTAGCTTTTGATTCTTTCCAGATCCTAGCAAATTAGAAGATAGATCTACTGCAGATGGTTTTGTCACGAAGGAGAAATGGGTTTCTGGGGTATTATCTTTTCCTGGGCATACTCTCTTGTCAGCTTTAGGGTTGAATGTACTTGACTTTCTAAAAACAAACAGTAAGCTAATAGCTTTCTTTGTTGTCATTACTAAGCACACCAGAGGTGGCCACTGGAGAAAATTATTTCTTTTTCATTTCTCACTTTTTTTGGCTTTCAGGTTCTTAGGAATAAAGAATGATATTTGATGCATATAGGCAAGAAAGAGGGATAGTGAGGGGACACAGGAGATGAAATCGTCATCATTAGGCAAAGGCTCTTGTATGTTGAATTCTATTTTCAGGACTTGAAAGGGAGGAACATTTTAAAGCACTTTGGTAGCCAGTGCAGTCATTCCTAGATTCTAGCTATTTTAATCCAAATGCTCCCTTGCTGCTAATTTCTTTTGTCAAAATGAAAACCTACTTACTATCATTCATGTAACAATCTCCTACATATTTAAAACAGTTAAGCTCAGAGATTTTTTTCCCCAGAGAAAGGATTTCCATTCATTCAATGGTTTTTACTAAAAAGGACCTATTTTGTGAATTCAAGTAATTTTCGTTTTCCTTTAGATTTTTCTCTTAAGTTTAGCTCATTTTTAAATTGTGTTTTCTGCTCACCTGGCATGTGAAGTGCTGAAGCATGAATGCCAAGGGTTTCCTCCTCAAGGTGTGGGTGATACGTTATTATATTGTCTAAGGAGAGTGTTCATTTAGTTGATTTATGCCAGGAGTGTGTAAATGGTACAAACCTAGAGACATTTTCATATTCCTGAGTTCTGTTATTTAATATCAGGGAAGAAGGAAGCAGGTATACTCCATACATTTCTTCCTTTATGGCTACTGTCTCCTACAAAGCTTTATCCAGCAAGGACCCCCCCCCCATGGTGTGTCATTGTCATTTGATGCCCACAACAACTCTGAGGTGGGCAGAGTGGGTCTTGTTGCCCCTTTCCAGGTACAGCAGCAGATGTCCAGAGAAGTTACAAGACTAGATTTTCTTGGGATTGTAATTAAAATTCATTCGTTGACTCCTGGGTCAGTGTGTTTTTCTCCAAAGTCCAATTCCCCCTTGTCCTGAAGTGAAATTTATAGTTAAGGAAATAAACACATAAATTAATAGAAATAGCTCTCTAATTGTAGTACAAAAGGAGGAAAGTGACCCATACATTACCAAAGAATATTTCAACATATAAATGCTTGGTCATATTTAAACTAGAGGGTAGAATGGAATAATCAGATGGTGTTCCTAAACATAGACTCACCATGAGTGCACTTCCAAATGTAGGTAATATAGGTATGTTGTATTGGTGACAGAAGGAAACACATATCAGCTGGGATGTGGTTTTCAAGGAAAGTGAACATACTTGATAAAGTTATAAACGCAACTGAATACACTCTGTGCAGTGGTTGCATTTTGGAAAAGTCACCCAAACTAAATCTATATAAAAAAAGGCTTTGAGTTCATTTGTAAAATGAGACAATGAGATAGTTAATCTTGTCAACTTGATAAGATTGTAAAGTGCTTGGGAGATTAGTATAGCACACCTCTGAGTATGTCTCAGTGTGTATATACATTTCTAGAGAGGACTAGTATATAGAGAAGACCCACCCCTTGAATATACACTGCACCATCCCATGGGGTGGGGCCCAGAGAAAAAGACAGCCAGCTAATGCAGGCTTTCTGTCTGTCCATCTGTCTATGTGCCCTACCCTTTCTTCTTCCTTCCCCCACTATACTAGCTGATGCTTTTCTTCATGTCAGAGATCATGGAAATGGCCAGCTCTGGACTGGAAACCTCTGAAATTGGGAGTCAAATCTGTGCTTCTTTTAAGTTGTCTCAGGTATTTGTCACAGTGATGAGGTGCCTGATACAGTTTGGCTTTAGTCTTAGATTGTTACAAGCCATCTTTCACCTATATGAATGGTCTGTGGACCTTTCAGGAATGTTGTCATGAATGTGAATGGTCCTGTATGTTGTGGGTAATGGTGTGTTGGGAAACCAGCTCCTTGAATTGTAAGTCCTTACTGCATCATTGACTGACTTCTGTGCTAGAAATACTCCCACTGGAGCAGATTTCAAACAGCCAGTAGTACTGGCTCAAAATTCCTGAAGATTTAGCCTTCAACTTAGTAGGAGCAAACTGCAGGATACCACTAATTTTGTAGGATGTCTAGCACATGTCCTAGACAGTCCCCCAAAGGCCGAATGGAATCCCCAAATCCAAATCCGTGACAACAAAAAATATCTCCATGCATTTCTGAAACCTCCGACAGGGGCAGTATTGCCCAATGAGAACCAGTGTATGAACTCTGGTGGTATTTGGGTATAAGTGACCTCATCAAATAGTAGGTGCTGGGTAGGCGTGAGACTGCCCTGTGAAGCTCCTGGTGCTTATCTGGCTGTACCAGGAGTCTTCATACTGAGTCCAGAGCAGTCCATGCATAATGCTGTCCCCGTCCTGCCTCCTCAGCCTTGATCAGAACACAAGAGCCTACACTTTGGGGCTGCTCCCTGCCTGACCATTGCTACTTTTGTCAGCTCAGTTTATCACTTGAGAAGTTAACAAACAACAAAAATCATTGAAGCAAGTCTCTTTTTTTTTTTTTCTTCCAGTTCTGGAGCAGTTACACAAAGGTGGGGTGGCAAATGTTGAGAGCTAGTTAGAAAAATAGTCCTGGATTCTAATGAAATTGCAGAAAGTAGATTAGTTGGTTTTATTAAGATAGACCATTTGGTTTAAAGACTGTGCTTCAAAGGACTAAAAAAACCTTTTCTTTCCTGCCTTAGTGTACACTTGACTCTGAAGTGGAGGTGAGAGTGGGTGGAGATTTCTTTTTTGACCCTCAACCGGAAGATGCCCCTAGGAACCTCGTGTTGATTGCAGGAGGGGTTGGAATTAACCCTTTGCTTTCCATCCTGAGACACGCAGCAGACCTCCATCGAGAATGGGCAAACAAAGGATGTGGCTATGAGATAGGAACAGTCAAACTGTTCTACAGTGCAAAAAATACCAGCGAACTTCTTTTTAAGGTAAGAGGGAACCAGGTGACGGGTTGTTCACATGCATAATGGAGTTGGAGGCTGAGAATAGAAGGATTCAAATTTGACATTAGAAAAGCATGCAAAACTCCATTCAACCCATAGCTGGGCATGGTGACATAGATTTGTTGTCCTAAGCTATGTGAGAAGCTAAGACTGGGAAGATTGGAGCTCTAAGCCAACCTAGGCAGAATAGTCTGAGACTTAGTATCTCAATGGAAAAGTTGGGCAAGGTGGTACATACCTCCCATCCCCATGGGAAGTCTAACGTGGGCAGATCATGGACTAGGCACAGGAATTGAGATCTTATCTCAGAAGTAACTAGCAAATATAAGGCTGGAAGTGTGGCTTAGCATTAGAGAGACTACTTAGAAAGCACAAAGCTGGGGCTGGGAAGCTGGCTTGGTAGTAGAGTGCTTGCCTTGCATGCATGAGGCCCTGGATTCTATTCCTCAGCACCACATAAGCAGAAAAAGCCAGAGGTGGCGCTGTGGCTCAAGTGGTAGATTGCTACAAGCACCCAGGCCCAGAGTTCAGGCCCCACGACTAAACAACAACAACAACACAAGAAAAAAAAGAAAGAAAGGCAGACAGAAAGAAAGAAAAGGAAGGAAGGAAGGGAGAAAGAAAGAAAAAAAGAAAGAGAAAGAAAGAAAAAAAGAAAGAGAAAGGAAGAAAGAAAAGAAAGCACAAAGCTCAGATTTCAAAGCCTAGTAACACCACCAAAAAAAAAAAAAAGCCACAAAACAAAGAAAGAAAGAGGGTAGTATATGTTTTTCAGTTTGCTGTAAGTAGACTTGTTTAATGGTATTGCCCACAAGTCTTTTTTCTGTTGGGTCTGATTTCTTTGCAAAGGTTTTAACAAAAAGCTTGGTAGGATTTATGTTCAAATGAGAATTGACCATCATGTCTCATCCAGGACAGTCACAACTAGTAATGTTGAGGGCTCCCAGGTAAGTGGCAGGATAGGGTGTGTACTGTGGGATGGGATCTGTGCTTAGTGGAATGAGTGAATAGAAATGACACCAAAACCCCAGGTTCCAGGGAGAGAGAGCTGTGAGACTAGTTAGAGGGCTTGAGTGTCCCACACAGGTGAGACCTGGATAATCGACCCAGCTGGTTAAGGAGAGCCCTTATGGGTTGCATCTATTGAAACTAAAAGTACATCCAGTGGAGAAGGCTTTCACTCAGGACTGCCTTGCAGCTGCATGAATGAACAAAAGAACAGAAACAGTTAAAAGACAACTGTGGTCAGTGAAACTGCTGCTAATTTGCCAATGCTTAAGAAAAAGGAAAAGAAAACACTCCCTGAGAGTTAGTAATGTGCTTGTTAGCATATTCAGATTCCAGCTAAAGCCAGATAGCCTCTGTGCTCTGAATCTCTGGCCTGCCAGGCTGCAAACACCATCTCCTGAAATAGAGAAAACAGCAGCAGACATGTGCAGAATGGGAGTTGAGCTTCGGCGTCAATGGTTTTGCACATCTGTTTTGATTTTCTAAAATTGTAGTGTGACCAACTATGTTTGACATTCCAGAAAAATATCCTTGATTTAGTAAATGAATTTCCTGAGAAGATTGCGTGCAGTTTGCATGTTACAAAACAGACTACACAAATCAGTGCGGACCTTAAGCCATACATCACGGGTGAGTCCCCAAAGATGTTTTGACTATCTTTGCACTTATATATGATGGGCACACCATTTACTTTAGTGTTAGAAGTTGCCAGGGAACAGCCAGGGGAATTGAGAGATGATTCATCATGAAACAATTAAGAACTATATTAGTTGGATTTACTTATTATATGCAGATTTCCTACTGCCATATTGAAAGAATGTTCTTTCTATTTAGTAGGCCTTTACATCATCACCATAGTGTGCATCCAAAAAATTATACTCAGCCCTGGCTGCATGGGTTCCATTTGCCATTAATGGTCATTCAGCTTACTCATGGTTTCCTGTTTGGAAGGGCTTTTGTAAAACAGTTTATTTACTTTGGTGTGTAGTTTTGCATCTCGACTGAAGACGAGTAAGCTAGCTGGTCCTCTCTAAAGACTGCTGTTTGCTTGTGATAGGTTTAGGGAGCCTCGAGAGTCACTGAGCTTAAATTACTACAAATAAATACTGTGCTTATTTATTCTGTCCTTGTATTCAAGATACAAACATGTCTTGCTTATTGGGGTTTATTCTATTTTTTGGTAGAAGGAAGAATAACAGAGAAGGAGATAAGAGATCATATTTCAGAAGAGACTTTGTTCTATATTTGTGGCCCACCTCCAATGACAGACTTTTTCTCCAAGCAACTAGAAAACAACCATGTTCCCAAAGAACACATTTGCTTTGAGAAGTGGTGGTAGCAGCAGGCCAAGCAACAAAACTGGAAGACTGACAGCCATTTGGGAGAGTAAGAGATACTATTTAATAGCATCTATCTCTACTTGAGCTGTCTTTAGGACTGAAGTGACCACTGGTGAATAAAAGAAAAGCTAGCTAGCACCACACTTAACTGTAAACTTTTTGGGAAGAATTTATTGATCAAACTATTTTTTTTACCATATTGATTTTCTTCTAATTTCCTGTTTAATTATCTCAGGATACACTCTGAGTTGGGTATTACAGTGTTTTTTTTTTTTCCTTTTGCCCTTAGAGGAAAATGAAATGTGTATATTTAATCATGGGAAATAATAAGTTTTTGTGGGAAGTGTTTAAATTATTTGGCAGCAGTTTATATACCTTATGTTCATTGAACTTATCATTTAAATATATTCTTTATTTTTAAAATTCATATTTAATGTCTCAGTGTACTTTTATCATGGTCTGAAACTGCTTTAAGGGGCAGAATATCCAATGTGCTGCTTCCTGGTAATAAATAGCCTAAACGTGCATGGTAATTGTTAGCTGCTTCTGTGTCCTGGCTGCCTGCCCCACTGTGGGAGACAGCTTCCTGTTAGAGACAAAGGTGTTGGTGATTGTTATGTTCCCTGTTGTCTGTCTTGGTAGGTGGGCTGGTGACCGTGGAAACCTGCTAAGAATTGATTCGGGTTAAGAGCCATTTCCCAATTCTGCATCTTTGCTTTTTAGTTCCTTCCTTTTCCAGGGTTGTTCCTGGTATCTGCAAGTATGTAACAAATCACTGAATGAAGAAAGCATTTTAAGTCTTCACTGTCTAGGGAAAGGAGGCAATCCCCAGGTAGGACAGAAAGAATGGTGACATTTGATCTCAAGGCTGCTCTGATGAAAACTGCTAGAAAGCAGACTCAAGCTCTTGTTTATCTTTGTTTAGGTTTTTAAAAATCCAAAAGAAATTCATGAACTAACTGAGGTCAAGCAAGTGCTGGGTCTTATATCAACCTGGAGAACATTGGAATGTGAATGAAGCCTGGAAAGGACAGACCAGTGCTAGAGACCTAGGAGACCAGGTTGAGATGATTCTTGAGCTGAAGCAAGAAGATGGGCTACTCTTTATGTCTGTTGCTCCTCTTTATGTCTGTGGGCCTCCCAGGAGCTCTGGGCTTAAACTGAGTGAGTTCATGGCATCTGCAGACAGCTGGCATTGCCACTAGGGCATCTGCCCTGTGTAGTGTCTTGGCAAGTTTAAGCAGAAAGGGTTGGCCAGCTCTTGTCATGTACCACTTGCTATTCCCTGACTGGAATATCTCCTGAGAGGCACACTATTAAGTAGTTCTGTCGTTGTGCGGCTGTCACAGGGCATGCTTCACAAACCTGGAAAGCCAGGCAGTCATTAGTCCTTTGAGAATGATGTTAGGTATGCAGTCCCATCATTGACCAAAACATCGTTGTGCAGCACATGGCTGTTAGATTCCAGATGTGAATTCAGTGGGAGGGAGAGAAGGGGACGGCTGGCCTGATGGGAAGTCCGTTCTGGGAAGTGACTACCTGAATTTCAGAAGTGAGGGGACTGGAAGAAGTTCTGGGCCACAGGAGCCCTGATAAATACATTAACCCCCAAGTGCCCTGGCTGAGGGAGGCTTTAGAGCTGAGTTCTCAAGGTGTAGAAGCACATAATGAGATTCAGGGGTGGGGTAAGCAAGGGGCTCTTCTGACAACTAGTGAAGGCAGCTGGCAGGGAGCCTGTTGGGAATGGGAGGTGCAGGGTGGCCTCACAGCAGTGGAGGAGTAGGGGGATACTGCCTCCGTCTGACCAGCACCATGCTGTGTGCCTGATGCTCTCAGAGAGCAAGGGTCACCACACCAGCCTGGGGATCCCAGCTCTACCTGCCACCTTGTGCTGACTCCCTGTCACCAAGTGTGAGCTGCTGGGGTGGGCCAGGTCACAAACGCTGCTTGCCTGTGGTGTTCTTTCAGCTCTGTCATTTGGCATTAAGAACTGAATAGCATTTTCTGGTCTGCTGGCCAAGAATGGCCTGTTGCCCTTGGCTGCCAGTCCTGTCCACATCTCTTTGGTGCTCAAACTGAGTGACCCTCAGTCAGTGGGGCTTGGAATTTATTACATAGTGGCTCGAGACTGGAGAGACCCTTTGAGCCAGACTACTGAGTTCAGATCCCAGCTGTATCACCTACTAGGTCAGTGATGCCAAACAAATCCCTGGACTATTCTATGCCCCACTGGAAATCACACACTTGGAACCACACATGGAAGGGTGGTAATACCACCACCTTCCTCGAAGGGCTCCCGGGATCAAATGGAATCCCATGTGTGGAGAATGCTAGCAGAGCATCCATGGGCACCGTTCATTTGCTCCTCCTCATTCTGTTCAGAGAGGATGCTAGATTTACTCTGCTAAAGACCCCTCATGTGGGGAGAGGCCTGTCTTGTTTAGCACTGTGCTCGGCACATGGTAGGTCCTTCATGAAGTTTGATATGAAAAAGCCTGTCCAGAGCAGATGAGCCAGGTTAAGGAACTCGCTAAGAACCCTTTGGCACTGTGAGTTTATGGAAATATTCTTTGTGACAGCAGACATGAGAGTCTCAGAGTGAAGACACATGGCAGGGCTTACTAGAAAGACCAAGCATGTACTTGGTTGGTCTTCCCCAAGTAGCTTACCATTAGGTGTTTTCTCCTAGGCAGGATGGGTGTGGAGCCCTCCACATAAGGATGGTCCCTGGGATCCTGGGTCTAAGTCAGTAGATCTCACTTTAAAAACAAAACAAAACCTCATGGAAAAATTCCAAATATACCTCAGGAGTGTGTCCTCCTCCCCTACATCCCCTCAGCTGCAGTGATGTAGCATTCTGCTGTTTCTGTAAGTTCTTCAACTGGCATCAGGATTCGCTCTGCTGGGTCATCTGTAGGTGCAGTAACTGATGCCCTGATGTGAGAGTCTACGTGTGACATGAGGTGGTGCGTCCTGAGTTTCTTGTGTCAGTGGCACCCTCCTCCTCACCACATGCTTGCACTTTCCCCTTTGGCTTCTTTGTCCTGTAGGTTCCCATACTTTGAACCTAGCTTACTTATCCTCCAGACCACGGCCATTAAGATGATGCTGTATTTCATGTTAACTGGTAATTAACCTAGAAGTTACTTAGACATAGATTCAAGGTTATTTCAAAGGCTTTATTGTCAAATAGTGTATGTACTTTCATTTTTAAATGGCAGTACTGTGGTTTGAGGGCTTTATGCTTGCTAGGCTGGCACTCTGCCATTTGAGCCATGGCAACAGTCTTTCTTTTTGCTGGTTAATTTTGGAGATGGAGTCTAGCAGACTTTTCTCCTGGGCTAGCCATGAAATACGATTCTTCAGATCTCAGCCTCCTAAGTAGCTAGAAGTATAGGTGTGAGCCACTGGCCAGCTTGTACTTCTTTTCGTATCATGTGAGACAAACAGTCTCCCACTTTTAATGTTGTTAAGATGGATCCATGCCTGATCCTTTCCTCACAACCTCAAAAACCCTGAAACTATAGCCAGGCGCTGGTGGCTCACGCCTGTAATCCTAGCTACTCAGGAGGCTGAGATCTGAGGATCGTGGTTCAAAGCCAGCCCATGCAGGAAAGACCGTGAGACTCCTATCTCCAATAAACCACCAGAAAACCGGAAGTGGCCCTGTAGCTCAAGTAGTAGAGCGCTCGCCTTGAGCTGAAGAGCTGAGGGACAGCGCCCAGGCCCAGAGTTCAAGCTCTACGACCGACAAAAAAAAAAAAAAAAAAAAAACACCCTGAAACTGTAAGAAAAAGATGCAGGACAATGTTTTTCTTTCTTTTTATTTGTCAATTACTGTAGTCTATTCTGAGTTTGTGCCTTACCACCCTCTAAAGATGACCAGTGGGATTTTTTAAGTGCCATATTTCTTTCGTCCATTGCAGTCAATTTCAAGTTATCTCTGTAGTGTCAGTGGTACATACTAAGCAGTAGGGATTGTTGGTGTTTGGGAGCTCAAAAAAGCTACAAAACAGTGCCCTAATAAACAGGAGGAAGAGAATCCCCTATGAAGACAGTGCTTGGAGGAGGAACAGACATTGACTAGGCTGCTGCTGCTTTGACAGGAGCGATACATTGTGATCAGTGACTGTCAACAGGCCTTGCTGATCTTGTTAGCTGGATGGTGAGAGTGTAAACGTGGGTGGGTGTGAGCTTAGGAAGAACTGGCAGGAAAGAAAAGTTATAATGAGCATAGACGATAGTTTCAAGGAAGTTTTCTAGGATGGAAAGGACAAAGTTAGACTAGTAGCTGGAAAAGGCAGTGGCCAAAATGCCACTTATTGCTTTTTGTTTTTGTTTTCAAAACTTTAATTTTGTACTTAAAGACGTGTAGAGATACAGAATTCTTCTCTTCCTGTCATCCAGCTAGCCAAAGTATTATATTTACCAAAATTAAGAAACAAACAGTACTGTCATATTGTTGAAGTACTATTAATTAATTATGTGGAAGAGATGGAGGCCTAGTTGTGGGAACACCTGTGACAGTCCTTTAGTGGAACTCCTGTGGTTTGACTGTGAAGTGTCCCTCACAGACGCAGGCCCCAGCTGTTGGGGAGGTGAGGCCCAAGTAGAGGATACAGATATTTTGTCTCCACCACAGAAGTCTGCTAACATAGGAGGGAACAGAGTTTTCTAGACCTTGTTGAATGATGAATTGTCAGTCATTGAACATCTACTATGTGTCACTGTCACCCAGGTAGACACTGTGGACAGGAAAGTGTAATATATACAATATTAAAAACGATCTCAAGGTGTGTTCTATGAGGAAGTGTGTTGTAGACCAGGCATGATGGTGAATGCCTGTTGTCTCAGCTACTTGGGAGGCTGGCTGACCATCTGAGCCCATAAATTCAAAACCAGTCTTGACAACATGGTGAGAACTGTTGCAAAACAACAAGAGAGAATTCTATACTGAGAACATTTCCATGGGACCCAAAGTAGAGGTGCGCTGGGGAAAGATGAGTTTTGTAGCTACTTCTGGTTGTAGGTCAGCCCTGGACAAGTTGCTGAAGTGATGGTAGCCTGTGGGTACAGAGAAGGTGGGGCCATGGGAAAGGTTGCACCCCTGCTCTGCAGACAGTATTCGAGGAGGATGTGATGACTGGGTGCACAGCTGTAGGCGCACATGTTTGTAATGCATCTTTGCAAGTCCAAATACATGTGTGCATGTCATGACTGTCAAGCCAAGGTCATGCATTTCTGAGATTTTTTTTTCCCTTTCTGAATAGAAAACAGCAATTTCCTTTATTCCTAGGTATTAGAGATCATATGTGCTGATAATTTAACCTAAAGGCCATTATTTCATTTTTATTTTAAATCAAACTCAAGGTAGTATGTGCTATTGTCAGAGAGAATAGAGAGCTGTCTTTAATATTACTCTTTCCT